GCTCGCGCGGCGGGCCCGGGAGCCGACGCACAGCCTCGCGGCGGCGCTGAGCCCTCCCGGCTGCCTCGCGGCGGCCGCCGCGGCGCGGAGCGGCGCCGCGGCAAAACCCGCGCCCGCCGTCTGCGTCACCCTCGAGTCCGCGAGCGGCGTGCCCGCGCCCCAGAAGCTCGGCGCCGACACGCTCCACCGGGCCGTGCGCTGCTGCGTGCTCGACCGGGCCGCGACGGACGGCGACGACGGCGTCCTGTCGAACGTGCACCGCGTCCACGCGCGCGCGGCCAACCGGCCCGACGCCTGGGCCTTCGGGCGCGCGCCCGGCCCCGCGCCGCTTGGCGCGCTCCGCGCGTCCCTCGAGGAGGCGCTCGACGGGCGGGCCTGCTACGTCGTCGCCGGCGACGCGCCGGCGACGAAGAAGCGGCCCGACGCGTCCGCTCGGTCGCTGCTCTTCGAGCTCACGATGACCGTGCCGCGGTCCTTCTTCGACGGCCGGCGCGACGCGACGGACGCGTCCGAGGCCAAGACCAAGGCCAAGAAGCGGAGCGACCTCGGCAGCGACTACGAGTCCTCCGACTCCGACTACGGCTCCGACGGCGACGGCCGGAAGACGCGGAAGGCGAAGAAGAAGAAGAAGAAGAAGGGCGACAGCGACGACGAGTCGCCGCGGCGGAAGAAGAAGGGCGACAGCGACGACGAGTCGCCGCGGCGCAAGAAGGCGGCGTCGAGCGACGACGACTCGTCGCCCGAGCGGTCCTCGAAGAAGAAGAAGAAGAAGAAGAAGAAGAAGCGCGCGGACAGCGACGCGGACAGCGACGAGGTCTACTCGGACGAGGAGAGCGCGTCGAGCGGCGACGAGAAGCCCAAGAGGCGCAAGAAGAAGCGCGGGGGCTCCCCGGACAAGCCCACGTGGTTCTCGAAGCGGATGGGCCGCGGCGACTCGCACGCCAAGGCCGCGGCGCGCGACGACAGCGACGGCGACAAGGGCCCGCGGCGGCGGCGGAAGCGGGCGGCGCGCGAGGGCTACGTGGAGGTGAGCTGCGGCTGGGCCCTCGTGCCCCTGGACCGGCTGCGGGCGACGCGCGGCGCGCTCGCGCTGGACCTCAAGGGCGGGAGCCCGTTCCACGAGGAGGCGATCTCGCCCGACGACGTGCCCCGGGCCGGCGGCGGCTGGTTCGGCGCGTCGCGGAAGCCGCCGCGGCTGTCGCTGCGCGTCGGCCCCGCGCCGCTGCGCCACGGGTTCCTCGAGGAGCCCGGGGGCCCGTTCCCGGAGACGTGCGTCGTGCCCGCGGCGCACGCGAGCCTCGTGTCGACGTACCACCGCTACCTCCAGGACTACCTCGGCCGCCACGTGTTCCAGGCGTCGACCGGGAACGTCGCCGACCCGGTCCTCGCGCTGTTCCGGAAATTGGCGGCGACGGAGGCGTCGCTCCTCGCGCTCGCCGCGCTCTGGCGGCGGCGCCTCGACGAGCGCCTCGCCACGCTCAAGCCCGGGGCCGCGGACCTGACGCAGGAGCGCGCGGCGCAGGCGGCCCTGCAGGTCGCGGTCTGCGAGCTCTGGCCTCTGGCGGAGAGCTTCCACGCGCGCAACGCGCCCGAGGACGCGTCGAACGACGCGCTCGCGGCGGCCGCGGTGCTCGCGACGCCGACGCCGTCCCTCGCCCACGGCTCGGGCGCCGGCGACGACCGCGCGGCGGTGTTGGACGACGCCGCGCGGCTCCTCGCGCCCTTCCTCCGCGACGAGGAGGCGCCGCCGGGCGACGGCAAACGGAAGCGGCGCGACGACGCGCTCTTCGCGCCCTTCGACGTCCGCGAGCTCGCGCCCATGTAAGGTGAGGCGTCCCTCGAGTAACCCCTCGTGTTCCTTGCAACATGCCGTCATGAAAATCCTATTGCCACGCCTCGCCATATGGAGTGGAGTTTTTGAACGAGCAGTGGAGTTTTTGAACGAGCAGTGGAGTTTTTGAACGATGGCCGGCGCGAAGAAGAAGGCGAAGAAGGCGCCAGCGGCGTCCAAGGACGCCGACTGCGTGTACACGGTGGCCGTGCACGAGGGCAACGTGAGCGGTATCACGGCGGCATCCTGGGACATCGGGCGCATCGAAATGCTCGGCAGCGACACGCTCGACGCCCTGGCCGATCTCCTCTTCGCCCACATGCTGCCCCGCGTGCGCGACCCGGAGGACTGCGACCGCGGGGCGCACATGTGGAAGTTCGCGGCGTGCCGCCGCGAATTCGTGCCCCAGGACCAGTTCGACGTGGTCCATCCGCAACCTTTTGAAGCCGCGAAGCTGCCGACGGCGACGCCGCTGGCGGCGCTCCTCGCGCGCAAGCACCCGGTCGCCGTCGGCGGCGCCCCCTTTTCGTTCGAGTACGACTACGGCAGGTCGACGAGGCTCGCGCTGCGCGTCGCGTCCGCGCGGCCCCGCCCCCTCGCGTCGGCCGCGTTCTTGGCGGGCGCGGGCGGCAGGACGCGCGCGGCGGCGGCGCTGCGCGTCGTGCCGCCCGAGCCGTACCCGCGCCTCGCGCGCTTCGACGACGACGCGCTCCCGGCCGGCGCCGCCGGGCCGGGCCTCGACGCCGCCTACCCGCGGTACGCCTCGGCGTTCCTCGCGTCGCGCGCGGCGACGCTCGGGCTCAGCGCCATGGTCGCGCGCGTCGACGACGGCACGTTCGCGACGCTCTCGGTCGGCGCCGGCGGCGACACGCTCTTCGCGCCGCTGGCGTTCGCGAGCGGCGACGAGTTCCTCGCGACCGCGGAGGCCGCGCTCGAGGCCGACGAGGCCGCGCGCGGCGAGCGCGACGAGGACGGCTACCCCACGCACTGCGGGCAGGCGACGATGCTCTTCCCCTCCGCGCTGCCCGACGACGACTGCGAGGCGCGCTACGCCAAGGCCGCCGCGCGGGCGGACGACGACGACGACGACGGCGCCGGCGCCGACCTGGTCCGCCGCGGCGACGCGGCCGCGGACCGCGGCGTCTTCGCCGCCGCGTTCCCCGCGACGCACGCGCGACTCTTCGGCGGCGGGGCCTTCCGCTGGGTGAGCTACCGCGCGGGCGTGCTCCGCGTCGTCTGCGGCCGCGGCGGCGGCCGCGACGGCCGGTCGGAGCCCGACGACGGCCGCGTGCTCCGCGAGTGGCGCCGGCCCTTCGCCTCGCTCGACGACGTCTTCGCGTGCGTCGAGGCCTCCTGGGCCGGCGTCGGCGACGACGAGTACCCCGCGGCGCCGAGCGACCCGGAGCGGCCGACGCCGCGGCCGCTCGCCGGGCCGCCGCGCGTGCTCGCGGCCGGCGAGCCGCGGCCTCCGCCGCGCAACGACTGCTACCTGAGCGACGGGGGCGGAGAGCTCGCGCGGAGCGTCACGGCGCTGGCCCTGGGCGCGTCGTGCCTCTTCGTCGGCTCCGCGGACGGCGTCGTCCGAGTCTGGCGCCTCCCGGCCGCGGCCGGCGCCGCGCCGGCGGCCGAGGTCCGGGCCTTCGCGGCCGAGTCGGACGACGACGACGACGACGACGTCGACGACAGCGAGCTCCAGGTTCGGCGGGCGAGGATCGGCGGCCTCGCGGTGGTGCACGCGCCGGACGGGTCGACGGGGCTCGTCGCCTGGGCGCGGCAGGGCGCGCTGAAGCGGTGGCGCGTCGCGCCGTCCGGAGCGCTCACGCCGAAGCGCGACGCCGTCGTCGACGTCAGGGCCTGGAACGACGACGGCCGCCCGCACGCCCCGAGCGTGAACTGCTGCGTCGTCGCGGCGCTCCGGCGCGGCCTCCATCTCGTCGCGGGCCTCCACGCCTGCGCGGGCCACGGCGACGGGAACGTCGTCTGCTTCGACGCGCTCTCGGGCGCGCAGGTCGGCACGTGGCGCGGCCACGGCGCCCCGGTCTACGGCGTCGCGGTCGTGCCCGACGGCGTCGCGTCGGTGAGCATGTCGTCGTCGGCCGAGACGCTCATCCTCTGGTCCTTCAAGTCGGGGAAGAAGGGCAGGAGGCTCCGCGAGATCGAGCTGGGGAACCACGCCTGGCGACGGGCGCTCCGCGCGGGGCGCGGGATGCCGGGGCACGCCGTGCCCGAGCTCGCCCTCGACGAGCTCCACGAGGTCAACGGCGCGGCCGTCGTCGGCGGCGACCTCGTGCTCGTCGCCAACTTCGGCGACGTCCTGCGCGTCCTCGACGCGTCGACGCTCGCGACGAAGCGGACGCTCAACCTGGGCCTCCACGGCGGCGAGGGCGGCGAGGGGTTCACCGTCGCGGTCGCCGCATCGGCGACGCGATTCTGCGTCGCGAACGCGGACTGCCACCCGTGCTTCGACGACGACGTCGACGACAGCCGCCTGCCGACGCGGGCGACGGCGCTCGTCGTCGACGCCGCCGCGCTCGCGGCGGCGACCGCGGCGCCGCCGGACAAGGGCGAGGCGCGCGCGACGAAGTACGTCGACGACGACGAGGAGGACGAGGAGGACGAGGACGAGGACGACGACGAGGACGACGAGGACGACGAGGACGACGAGGACGAGATGGTCTTCGGCTCCTCCGAGCGGCGCCGCCGCGACGAGGAGCACGACCGCCTCGGAAAGCACCGCCCCGACGTCGCGGGCCGCGTCCACTTGCCGCTCACCGCGCCCGCCGAGCGCGAGGGCGAGGAGCGGCCGCGCTCCACCGCGGGCTACGACCATCTATGCTGGCTGGAGCGCAGGAGATCCGGCCTCAAGGGACCGATCACGCTCGCGCTCGACGATCGCGTCGCCGTGGCGGGCTACGTGGACGGCACCGTCGCCGTCGCCGACCTCCTCGACGCGGCGCCGGGCGGCGACGCGAGAGCCCACGCGGCCGTGAGCTTCCTCGCCAAGAACATGTGGGACTCCGACCCGGTGCCTTCCATGTCGCTCGACGACTTTGAAGAGGAGCGAGACGACAGTGGCGACCAGTGCGCCATCTCCTAGGCGCGGCTTCCCGCGGACGCGCGCGCCATTTTAAAATGCCCTTACGAGTCCGCCTCCCGGAGCGCGCTCGAGGAGAGCTTCGGCGCGGCGGGCTCGGTCGACTCGGCGCCGACGAGGTCCACGACGACGAAGCGCAGGGGCTCCGCGATGCCGTTGTCCGCGCGCATGGCCGCGAGCTTGTCCGCGCCCGCCACCGTCTCCCGGGAGATGACGAGCGCCGTGATCTCGGCCATCGTCGCGGCCTTGGGCGGCGCCTTGGGGTCCAGGAGCGCGCTGAGGCTCACGGCGAGGCCCGGCCGGCAGGCCTCGAGGTAGGCCTTCGCCGTTTCGGACCGCCGCTCGAAGGGCCAGAGCTTCTCCGCGTGCGCCTTCTTCGCGAGCAGCGCGTCGCCGGCGACGCCGACGTAGACCGTCTCCTCGCAGACGCAGGCCGTCGCCGCCAGCAGGAGGCGGTGGCCCGCGTGCAGCCGGTCGAAGGTGCCTCCGACGGCCACGCTCTTAAAGGCCATCGCGGCGCTGTCGCCGCCGCCGTCGTCGGCGAGGCGCGCGGCGGCGAGGCGCGGCGCGTCCGTCGCCGGCCCGGCGGCGACGGGGAGGCCCGGCAGCGCCCCGACGAGCGACGTCTCAGCGGCCGTGGGCCCGAAGCCGACCTGGGCAGGACAAGAGTGCGAAATTCCCAACTTCAAAGGCTCCTATCTCGGTCGTTTTCCGCTCGTTTCGGCTGATTTTTGGACGAGCGATCATCTCTCGGAGCGCTCTCGAAGCGTAGGTGCTGTTTCCGAAACGTGCGCGCGCGAAACACTCACGTTGAAGCGACGTTGAATCACCCTTTTCCTGCCCCGAAGCCGACGACGCGTGCGCCGGACGCGCGCGCGGCCGCGACCGTCGCGCCGGCGGGGTAGCGCGCGTAGCCGCAGCAGTTCAGCAGGGGCACGACGTCGAGCGTCGGCGACGGCAGGCACTCGAAGGCGGCGCCGAGGCCCCGGAGCAGCGCGGGCGAGGCGACCGTCTCGTCCGCCCAGTCCCCGAGGAAGAGCACGTCGACGCGCGCGTCGGGCGCACCGAGCTCCGACGCGAGGGCGAGCGCCGACGCGAGGCGCGCGCACCAGCCCTCGGCGACCTCGACGACGGCGAAGAGGCGGGTTGGGCGGGCGTCGAGGGCGCTCATTCTCCGGCTGTGGCAACTCGCTGACTTCAATGAGAACCTCAACATGCGTCCGCAGTGGACGACGAGCTCGTCCGTGGCCATGCTTCAAGTAAACAGAGCATGCGCCGTGCCTACGCGCCGCGGAGCGCGGCGGCGCAGGCGGCCGCCGCGGGCCGCGCGTCCGGGTCCCGCGCGACGAGCGCGTCGACGAGCCGCGCCAGCGGCCCCTCGCAGGGCCGGCCGCCCCGGAGGTGCTCGAGCGCGAGGGCGCGCTCCATCGTCGTGGGGAAGACGCGGAGCAGCTCGAAGAGCACGACGCCGAGGCCCCAGACGTCCGACGGCCGCGCGTCGCGCGGGGCCACGCCGGGGGGCAGGCGCCGCTCGGGCGCGCCGTCGAGGCTCGCGGCGGCCGGCGCGCGGTCGTGGCGCGCCGCGAGGCCGAAGTCGCCGAGGCGCCACGTCCCGCGGCCGTCGGAGAAGACGTTGCGCGGCGCGACGTCGAGGTGCGCCCAGCCCCGGGCGTGGACGTGCGCGAGCGCCGCGGCGACGTCGCCGCCGACGGTCTTCGCGGCGGCGACGAGGCCCGCCGGGCTCGCGTCGCGCGTCGAGCCGTCGAGCCAGCTCCGGAGGTCGCCGCCGGCGCAGAGCCCGAGCTGGAGGACGCCGACGGTCTCGTCCTCGTACTCGTCGTCGGACTCGGACTCGCTGTCGTCGGCCCGCGCGGCCGCCGCGAAGCGCCGCGCGGCAACGCCGGTCTCGAACCACGCGGTGACGTAGCTGACGACGTTGCCGTGCGCCCCGATGGCGGCCATCGCGCGCGCCTCGCCGCGGGTCTCCGCGGCGTGCTGCAGCTTCAGCGCGTAGGTCGCGCCGTCCAGGCGGTGGCGCGCCGCGATGACGCGGCCGAAGCCGCCGCGGCCGAGCGCTCCGACCGCGTCAAAGTCCGCGGCGAGCCGCGACGGCGGCGCGTCGTCCGGCGCCGCGGGCGCCGGCGGCGGCGAGACGCGCGGCCAGGGCTTCGCGCGCGATGCCGTCGCCGCATCGATGGGCTGCGGCGCGGCGTCGACGGACCGCCGCTCCAGGCGATCATTTATTGATAGCTGGCCGAGGGCGCGGGCGCGCTCGGCGACGCCCGTGCGCAAACCCGGCACGAGCCGCCGCGCCGGCGTGCGCATCATGGTCTAGTGTTGCTTACACTGGCTGCACTGCGGCAGCGTCTCGAGCAGCGCTCGCGGCTACGAAGGCTGCACCGCCGCAGCGTCGCCAGGCGCCTCAGCGCTACGCAAGGAGAGCCATCGTCCTCTCACCGAGATCAGGGAATTTTCTCAAAATCTTTCCACAAGGGCCGGGGGGGCAAATCAGCCTGCCGAGCGCCAGCCCCCCACGCTGAGTGCCCCAGCTGACTCAAGTCCCGCCCTCACGGGCTACGGGCAGTCCGGGAAGGGGACACGGCAGGCGCGACCCGAGCGCAGCGACACTGAGCTGCGTCGCTCCCTCCCTCTCGCCGAGGCGGAGACCGAGCAGGCCGCGCCCGGGCCGCGGCCGCCGCGCGGCGCGGAGCCTGCGTCGCTTGAGGAAGTCGCTGGGCGACGACACCGTGGCGAGCGCACCAAAAGCGAAGAGCAGCCACGGCATGGTCCTTGTCGCAAGGTACCCGATCGACCCAAGTGCCGCGGTGAAGTCGATCTGAAGAGCTCGCAGCGTCGGCTGCCCCGCCAGGCCGACGTGTTGCTCAACCCCACGTTCCCGTGCATCGACGCCTCGAGCGCCTCGGGCTCCGCGGCGAATATCAAGAAGCTCTTTTTGTGTGTTGATTGGCTGCGGATCGTGCTGATGAAGATCATGTCAAGAAATCGCAGCGAGGCCCTCCTTGCCGCCATCACGCGGGTGTACTACAAGGTCATCGCTGCGCTGGTCGTGGAGCTCAGGAAGGACGCGGAGGACAAGACCAACGAGACGGCTCCCACCCTCGTCTCGATCGTCTCGTCGTACAAGTTCATAGCGACGCGCCGCCGCTCCGGAGCTCCGCGCCGCCGCTGAAGGAGCCCATGGGGGGCACGCCCGCCGCGCAACAACCCCCATATCACGCCCCCTACCTTACGCCCCCCCGCCCCGCCACGTACCGCGCGAGGATCGCGGCGTCCGTCGCGTTGTAGGCGGGGAACCCCCGCGCGGGCGCGGGCGGCGCGTCCACGCGCCCGACGCAGCGCGCGTGCTTCCGCGTCGTCCGGTAGACGCCCGCGTCGACGAAGGCGCGCGCGTTGCCGTAGGCCAGCACGGCGTGGTGGGCCGTGCGCGTCTGCGCGTGTGCGCGCCTCAACCGCGACGTCACGAAGCCCTCGGCGACGTCGCGGCCGTCCCACCGGGCCGCGTAGGTCCGCGCCGCGCCCGGCGACCCGACGAAGAAGTCGTCGACGAGCCGCTCGCCGTTGCCGCCCCCGGTCCACGGCACGGCGGCGCCGTCGCGGACCGCGCAGGGCACGTACGCGCAGGACCCCGCGGGGCACGCGTAGGCCCGGAGGTCGAGCGACGCGAAGAGCACCGTGTCGGGCCGGCACCGGACGACGAGCGCCGTCGTCTCCGACGCGCCGCTCGCGTCGAAGCGCTCGAAGGCGCGGGCCACGAGCTCCCACTGGAAGGCGAAGCTGCAGATCTTCCGGCCGCCGCAGTTTTGTATTCGCGCGAGCGCGCGGCGGTCGGTTCCGTAGAACGCGCGCGTCCGCGCCGCGTCGTGGGGGAGCAGCTCGCAGGCGTCGAAGCGCTCGCGGCCGCAGAGGTGGCGCGCCGCGGCGGCGAGCTCGCCCTGGCCCGCGCCGAAGGACGCGGCGAGGCCCAGGTACCAGCGGCGCCGCCCGCCGTTCGTCTCCACGAGGTGCCGGCGCGTCGACGGCCACGTCACGAGCAGCGTGCGCAGGCCGCCGGCGAGCAGCAGGGCGTAGCGCGGCGACGACGATTCTTGCAGCTCCTCCGCGGCGACGACCGCGACCAGCAGGAGCCGCCGGAGGCGCACCATAGCCGGGCAGCCCTTTGTCAGAAAAGAACGTTGATCTTCAACGTGAAGCATTGCGCGACTTCTGAGCGTGATCCGTGTGTTCAAAGACCGACGCGCCGATTAGAGCGGCCGCGCGTTGATCTTGGGGAGCGTGAGGGACATGGAGGACGCGGAGTGGTAGGAGTGGGCGTCGACCTCGAAGACGTGGAGGGCCGTCTCGGAGACGCCCGGCGGCGGGACCGCGTAGGAGAGGAGGGGCCGCGTGGGCGGCGCGGCGGCGACGCGGACGCGCGCGGCGCGCGCCTTGGCCGCGCCGTGCTCGAAGGTGCGCGCGCGCTGGCGGCTCGACTGGCGCGTGTGGCGCCGGCCGACGAAAGGGTCGCGGAGCGGGCCGACGGCGCCCCAGTCGCTCGCGTGCGTGAGGCGCACGTTCTCGTCCTCGACGTCCTGGGGCGTGCCCAGCGCCGGCGAGGACCGCGAGTAGGCCAAAGGGTGCGCGCCGGCGAAGGGGTCCACGGACTCGGGCCCGGGCAGCGCGGGGCTCGGCAGCTCCGCCTCGGACCGCGAGCCCCGCGCGAGGCGGTCGGCGAGGCCCCGCGTCGGCGACGCGGCCTCGTCGGCGGACTCGAGCGTCGACGCGAAGGACGCGCCCGCGTCCGCGCCGTCGCGCGCGCCGCCGGACCGCAAGCTCTCGTAGGACGCGCGCGACCGGTGGTCCGGGTCCTCGAGCATGGGCGCGCCCGCGAGCGAGCGCGCGCCCTGCTTGACCGTGACGCCCGCGGCGCAGCCGAAGCCGCCCTCGCCGGCGACCATGGACGGCTGCTCGAGCGGGCTGACCTTGAAGTAGCGGCGGAACGCGGCCTCGGCCGCGTCGCGCCGCGCGTCGGCCGCGGACGGCGCCTTGGCCTCGGAGTCGCGGCCCTTCTTTTTTTTCGTAGAATGCTTCGGCGGCGGCGACTTGGCCGGCGACGGCGCGAGGGGCTGGCGCTGGACGCCGCGGACCGCGTAGTGCGGCGACAGCGCGGACTCGGCCTTGCCCGGGGGCACGATCTCGAGGATGGCGCCGTCGGGCGTCAACGTCCACTTCTTGCCCTTGGACTTGATGGCGTGGATCTTCTTCTTGAAGAGCTCGTCCTCGTCCGCGAGGCGCCGCGCCTCGAGCACGGACGCCTCGTCGTCGACGCTGGGCTCGCGGCTCTTGGCCTTGTCGGGCCACTTGTAGCCCTCGGGCACCATGAGGTCCGTGCGCTTGTCCTCCTCGCTGATGTTGAACATGATGGGCTCGGGCTGGGGCTCGCCCTTGCGCGATCCCGCGGCCGACGGCGGCGGCTTCCGCCGCTTGCCCCGCTGCGACATCGTGGACCTAGCGCTGGACGGCTGGGACCCCGGGTGGGCGCTCGGCGGCGGGCTCAGCGGGAGGTCCAGCGCCTTGACCGTGGCCTTGGAGGGCAGCGCGCCGCGCGCCCACCGGTCGGCCTCGCCGGGGTCCGGCTCCGCGGGCGGTTTCAGGAAGGCCTCGCCGCTCGGCACCTCGTCGTGGGCCAGGTCGCCCCAGGCGAGCACCGTGAAGAGGGACCGGCACATGTACTCCGCCGTGAACGCCGGCGTGAGCTTGTCCACGGCGGCGACGGTGATGGCCTCCACGGTCCGGTCCCAGACGTCACTTAACAGCTCGCAGACGACCTCCTCGCCCGCCGCGTCGAGGGCCGGCGCGGCCTCGTCGTTGGACCGCCGCCGCGTCAGGCCCTTGACGTCCGACTTCCGGCCCGCGGTCGACTTGCGCGCCTCCGCCATCGTCGGGAGCGGCCCCCGCGCTAATGGGCGCTCCAAGGAGTATCTTCGGGGCCGACCGTGCTTTTTGGCGGCGGCGCTGATGGAGCGTGCCATGTCGCCGAGCGGCCGATAGTGAAATGGTCGCGTCGCCGAGCGCCGCGGCCTGGACGGCGCGGAGCGGCGGCGTCACGTCGCTCGACGACTGCGGCGGCGGCGTCGCCGTCGGGACGGCGACGCTCCAGGGCTGGCGCGACGCCCAGGAGGACGCCCACGTCGTCGACGCCCAAAGCGACGGCGCGCTGCTCCTGGGGCTCTTCGACGGCCACGGCGGCGCGGCGGCCGCGGCCATGGCCGCGCGCGAGCTCGGCGGATGCGCGGCCGGCGCGACGAACGGCGCGGCGCTCGCGGCCGCGCTGCTGCGCGTCGACGGCGCGCTCCGGCGCGCGCACGCGGCGCGCGGCGGCTTCGGCGAGGTGGGCTGCACGGCGCTGGCCGTCGCCGTCACGCCCGCAACCATCGCCGCGGCCTGGCTCGGCGACACGGTGGGGCTCGCGTGCCGCGGCGGCGCCGTCGCAAGTTTAGGACGGCCGCACGCGCCGTGCGACGCGGGCGAGCGCGCGCGCATCGAGGCTTTAGGCGGCGTGGTCCTGCGGAACCGCGTCAACGGCCGTCTAGGCGTCGCGCGGGCGCTGGGCGACTTCGACTTCAAGGCCGACGCCGCCGACGGCTGCTTGGTGTCGCCGGCGGCGGATTTCGTAGATATACCGCGCGAGGCGGGACACGAGTTCCTCGTGCTCGCCTGCGACGGTCTGTGGGACGTCTTCGCGCCGGACCAGGCCGCGCGCTTCGTCGAGGCGGCCTGGGGCCGCGGCGCGCGGAGCCCCGACGACGTCGCGCGGCGCCTCGCGCACGGCGCGCTGCTCCGGGGCTCCAAGGACAACATCTCCGTCGTTTTGGTCATGCTCGACGGGCCGGGCCTCGCGGCGCGCCTCGAGCGGGACGCGGCGCGGCGGGACTTGCCGGTGGACGCGCCGACGTTCGACGACGCGGCGTTCGGCGAGGCGCCCGCGCCGGCGCCCGGGGCCGTGCCCGAGGCGTTCCCGGCGACGCCGGGCTCGCGGGGCGACCTGCGCCGGGCCCAGACGCCCCAGCGGCCCTGCCTGTCGCCCGCGGCGCCGCTCGCGTCCGCCGCGCTCTTCGCGGACGACGGCGCCGCGATCGGGGGCGCGACGGTCGAGGCCCTCGGCGACGCGGGCGTCGCCGCGCTCCTCGGCCGCATGGGCCTGGGCCACTACGAGGCGGCCCTCGCCGGCGTCGACGGCCGCGCGCTCCTCGCGCTGGACCGCGCCGCGCTCCGGGGCCGCGGCTTCGACGACGCGGACGCGCTCTACCTCTGCGGCGCGCTCTACCTCTGGATGGACCTGCGCTTCTAGGCGCGCGTAAAAGGGAGCCCGCCGAGGAGGCCGTCGGACGTGTGTGCGCGCGCCTCGAGGGCTGCCAGTGGCAATTAGCGAGGGAGAGAGAGAGATCGCATGGCTCGCGAGACCGGAGTCGAGCTCGATCCGCTCTCCCAGGTTTTTGGACGAGCCTCGTCGCGAGTGTGCCCCTTGTGCGCGCCAACTCGCGCCCCAGCCACACCAGACGCTCCGCGCCGCCGCCGCCGGGCCGCGCCGGAACGCGCGAGACCCCAGCCCCGCGCGCCGCGACCGCCGCGCCGCTTCGGGAGCCGCGCGCCTCGCCAAAGGGCCACTTCGGTCGCTGCCGGAAACGCCGCCATGTCGGACAGCGACGAGTCCATGCCGGGCCTGGTCGACGCGGCGTCGAGCAGCGACGAGTCCGACGCCGACGAGCCCGTCGCGCGCGCGGGCGGCGGCGGCGCGCGCGGCGGCGGCGCCGCGGCGGCGGCCGCGGCCGCGCCCGCGCCCGCGGCCGCCGCGGGCATGTCGCGGGGCTTCCTCAACGGGAAGAAGGGCGGGGCCCGGGCCCCGGCGCCGGCGGCCGCGGCCGCGGACGGCGGCGACTCCGACGGGGACAGCATGCCGGGCCTCGCGCAGTCGAGCTCGAGCGACGATTCCGCCGCCGAGAGCGGCGGCGACGAGTCCGACGAGTCCGACGACGAGCCGCCGGCGCCGACGCCGGCGGCGGCGCCGTCGGGCGCGCTGGACCTCGCGGAGTGGAGCGTGCGCGACCTCAAGAAGGAGATGGCGGCCAAGGGCCTGTCCGCGGACGGGATGGTCGAGAAGGCCGAGTTCGTCGCCGCGATCCGCCGGTTCCGCGAGGACCGCGACCTCGCGCTCGCGCACCAGGTCCAGGAGGCGGAGCTCGCCGGCGACGGCGGCGAGACCCACGACGTCGACGCGACCTGGGCGACGGACCGCCTGGGTTTGCTGGGCCTCGACGACATCGTCCACGACGTCGTGCCCCAGATGCTCGACGCGAACGCGGACGAGCACGACACGCGCGCGCTCGTCGAGGCCGTCGTGCCCGAGGGCGACGCCCGGGAGCAGTTCCTTATGGATTTGTTCGAGCGCCAGCGCATGCGGCGCGAGCGGCGGGCCGCCGCCGGCCGCCTGGGCGGCGACGCCGAGGCGGCCGTCGAGGCGGCGGGCGGCGGCGACGTCGCCGCGCTCGTCGAGGTGCTCGAGAAGCCCGGCGTCGACAAGGCGGCCCTCGCGGCGTCCCTCGGCGGGCCCCTCCGCGACACGCCCCTCGTCGCGGCCTGCCGCCGCGACCACACGGAGTGCGCGTTCCACCTCCTGTCGGCGGGCGCGGACCCGGACGCGCGCGCGGACGACGGCGCGACGCCCCTGGGCCTCGCCGCCGTCGGCGGCTTCCACGCGACGGCCAAGACGCTCCTCTTCGACTTTAGCGTCGACGCGTCCGTCGTCGAGGGCCGCACGATCGGCGAGATCGCGAGCCTCTACGCGGCGTGCTGCCCGACGCGCGAGGCGCTGGCCAAGGGCGAGGACACGGTCGCGAGCAACGACACGCGGGACCCGCGGGACGTCTACGCGACGCTCTTCAAGGTCCACACGACGACGCTGACGCGGACCATGCGCACGTGGAAGGCGGACCTCGAGGCCGTCGCCAAGGTCCGCGTGCAGCGCGTGGGCCTGAGCCTCTCCTACGAGACGGCGCTCGCGCGCGCGGGCGCCGACGGCGGCGGCGCGACCTGGACCGGCACGCCCCTCGAGCTCGCCGTGCGGGCCGACAAGCTCCGCCTGGTCGAGGTGCTCCTCGAGCACGGCGCGGCCGTCGCGGGCAAGCGCGTCGTCGACGTGCCGCTCTACGACGCCATGGAGGCGCGGCGCTTCGGCAAGTACCTGCGGGGCCTCGCCGACGACGAGAAGGACAACCTCATCGCGCGCCCCGGCGACGTCGAGCGCGGGTTCGAGGACCTCGACACGCTCTGCGGCAACATCGGCGCGGCGACGGCGCCCGCCGAGGCCGCGCGGCTCCGCGCGCTCGCGGCGGGCCACGACGCCCGGGGCAGCGGCCGCGACGTGAGCGCCGAGTTCGAGCGGCGCCGGCGCCGCGCGCTCCTCTGGCGCTGCTCGCTCCTGCTCGCGCGCAGCGGCTGCGGCGACGTGCTCAGCTTCGTCGCCGCGGGCCAGAAGAAGGGCGGCCACATCTTTGCCAACGGGGACATGCCCGACGGCGTCAAGGGGCTCCGCGAAGCCCGAGAGGCGCTGGAGAAGTGCGCGTCGCTGGCCTACCAGGTCGCCAAGGAGTACGAAGACTTCCCGACGCCGCCGGCGACGACGGACGACGCCGAGGACGCGCTCAAGGCCCGCGCGGCCGCCGTGGGCAAGGAGAACCCGCTGGGCTTCGACGGCAAGGCGCTCGCCCACGCCTTCCAGCTCGTCGCGCTCCAGCGCCTTACGAACGTCGTCGCCTTGGAGGCGAGTTTACTCACGGCGACGAACCCGTCGCGCGAGGGCGTGGCTGACGTCATCCCCGGCTACTTGGACGCGGGGGGCGCGTCCGCGTCCTGGCTCGACGCCTGGCTCAAGGCCGTCAAGGGCAACGAGGCCAAGTCCGCGGCGCGCGTCGCGACGGCGCTCGCGACGGCCGTGTCGAAGTGGCGGGAATCGGCGCCCAGGTTACGCGATTTGGTCGCGGCGGCCGACGAAGGCTCCGAGCAGACGCTGAGCAGCTGGAAGTCCGCGGCGAAGCTCAAGGACTTCCGGCCCGCCAAGCTCGCCGTGGCCGTGGCGTCCCAGAAGCCCAAGGCCGCGGCCGCGGCGCCCGCGGCGCCCGCGGCGGCGGCGGCCGCGGACGAGCCCAAGCCGGCCCTCACGGCGAAGCAGCGCGAGAAGGAGAAGAAGCGGGCGAAGAAGCAGAAGCAGCGCGAGGAGGCGGAGCGCCAGGCCCGCGAGGCCGAGGACGCGCGCGCGGCGGCGGCGGCGGCCGAGGCCGACCGGCCGCCGCCGACGCCCGAGGAGCAGCGCGCGGCCGCGGAGCGGCGCAAGAAGGAGCTCGCGGACCAGGCGAAGCGCGAGGAGGCGGCGGCCAAGGAGCGCGCGGCGCGCGCAGACCGCGAGCGGAAGCGCGAGGAGAAGGCCGCGCGCGACGCGCGGCGGAAGCTCCGGGACGACGCGCGCCGCGAGCTCTGGCGGCCCGCGCAGACGGCGCTCGCCGAGGTCAAGGCCCGGGACCTCGAGCTCAAGCTGAAAGCTTTACCCTGGGCGACGCTCGTCAAGCGCTACGGCATCTCCGTCGACGAGGACGAGCTCTCGGGCTACTAGGGCGCGGGGTCGCGGCGCGCGGACGCGCGCCAGGCCCACGTGCTCGTCGCGGACCGCGTCCTCGGCTGGTTCGCGGACCGCGACGGCGCCTGGCGCGACCGCGCGCTCGACGTGCTCGGCGCCGTCGCCCGGGGCCCGCTCGCGGACCCCTTGAAGGGCAAGGGCGCGCGCGCGGGCCTGCGGACCGCGCCCCTGGACGGGTCCATGCTCCTGCTCTACTCGGCGTTCAAGGACGCGTCGGGCGCCGTCGGCGTGCTCGCCTGGTGCGCCGTGCGGAAGGCCAACCTCAACGACTTCGTCGAGAAGATCCTCGAATCCCTGGACCGCCGCGCGGGCGTCTCCGAGGACGAGGCGCCGTTCCTGACGCTCCGCGCGGACCACGTGCTGCTGTCGCCGGGCAAGAACACGCCCATGAAGCTCTACGTCGCGGCCTGCGAGTCCCTCCCCGGCGGCCGCGCGCCCGGCGCCGTCAAGGCCGCCGTCGGCGAGAACCGGTGGCGGCCGGACCTGCGGCTCACGGAGAAGGAGGCCGGCGCCGTCGCCGACGACGGCGCGCCGTCCATGGTCCTGGGCCGCAGCGGCACGGGCAAGACCGTGTGCATGGCGCGGCGCATCGCGCGCGACCGCGCGGACCACGCGGACCGCGAGCTGCTGTTCGTCGCGCGGTCCCAGGCGCTCTGCAACTTCGTCCGGGACGCGGCGTGCCGCGGCGACGCCGACGCGCGCGCCGCGGGCGAGCCGCGCGCGGCCGCCAAGTTCCTCACGGTCAACGACCTGTTGCCCCTCCTCGAGGAGAAGACGAAGAACATGGCCGCGGGCTGCAAGAGCGACGTGCGCACGCCCTGGCGCCGCATGCGCTACTACCGGCGCGTCGACGGCGTCGACTTCCGCCGCGACCGCGATCTGCGGCTGACGGACGAGGACTACGCCAAGGCCAACGGCAACTACAGCTCCGAGAACGACACGGACTCGAGCGACGACGACTCGAGCGACGACGACGACGGCGCGGGCGGCGCGCGCGCGACGCAGTTCGGGGCCATGAGCTTCAAGGTCCGCGGCTCGTGCTGGCCCGCGGCGGATCTCGTGGATTTCTCGCGGTTCCGCGACGAGTTCTGGGACAAGTGCGGCGCCGAGCGGTCGCGGAAGAACGAGTCGCTGTCGCCGACGTTCTGCTGGGTCCAGATCCAGTCCTTCATCAAGGGGTCCGTAACTCCTTTAATCCGCGGCGAGCCGCTCGAGCGCGACGAGTACATCGACGAGTCCGGCGCCATCTCGAAGCGCCGCGCGACGGGCCTGAGCAAGCAGGACCGCGAGGACTGCTACGACGTCTTCGTGTCCTACGAGCGCGAGCTCCGCCACCGGCAGTGTGCAAATCAACCAGTGAGCTGGGACGTCGGGGCCAAACTTCAGAATTCTCTAGCTCGGTCAAATCGAAGTCGATTCGGCTGATTTTTGGACGAATCGATTGCTCTCAGCGAGTTCTCGAAGCACGGCGGAAGTGCTCGTGTCAAAACATTCGAATACGCGCACATTGAAGTCGGGTTGAAGATTTGATTTGCACACAGGCCACCGGCGGCTCTGGGACGCGACGGACCGGGAAGTCGCTTTAATCCAGCGCGTCCTCGAGGAGGGCTTCGTCGCCACGACGCCCCTCGAGGCCTCGAAGCGCGACGGCGGCGCCATGGCCATCCTCGACCACGTCTACTGCGACGAGGTCCAGGACATGACGCAGGCGACGCTCGCCGTCTTACTCCTGGCCGTCGGCAACCGGCCCGAGCGCCTCTTCGTCTGCGGCGACACGGCCCAGGCCATCCAGGACGGCGTCGCCTTCCGCTTCAGCGACCTCAAGGAGACGATCTACGAGCTCCAGAAGGAGGTGAAGACGCGGTCGGGCCGCGGCGCCGCGGCGATGGCCGCGGCGTCGGACCGGAGCGGCGCCGCGGCCGCGTCGAAGAAGCTCTTCAAGCTCACGAACAACTACCGCACGCACGCGGGCATCCTCGGCGCCGCCAACGCCGTCCTCGACTTGCTGGAGCAGGCCTTCCCCAACAGCGTCGACGTCATGGAGAAGGACGCGGGCGTCTCGACGGGCCCCCGGCCGACGTTCAGCCACGAGCGCCCGGTCCTCGACGACCTGCCCAACGCGACGCTCCTCATGCGCGCGGAGCCCCTCCGCGACGCGCGGCGGCGCCTCGCCGCGGAGCGCGACGACCGCCGCGCGCTCGTCGAGGAGCGCGAGGGCGCGGTGGGCGCGTCCGACGACCGCGACGCGGTGCTCGACCGCGCGGACGCGGCGCTCAAGGCCGCGGCGGCGGACATCGCCGACGAGGCCGAGGAGGCGGCGGCGGCCTGGCACGCCGAGGTCAAGGCCGCGCGCAAGGCCTACGACGCGGAAACCAAGCGCCGCGACGCGGACGCGAAGAAGCGGCGCGCGAAGCGCGACGCGTGGCTCGCGGACCGCGACAAGCAGGCCAAGAAGGCCAAGGCCGACCTGGCCAAGCTCGCGAAGAAGCGCGCGCGCTTCGAGGGCGCCGACGGCGACGCGGGCGCGCGGCGCCGCGCGTCGGACCGGCGGGCCGCGGAGCTCGAGGCCGCGCGCGCGTCCGCGGAGCAGGTCTACAACCAACGCGCGCGCGAGGCCCTCGACCTCTGGAACACGCCGTCACCCATGGACGCGAACAAGCACCGCGTCGTCGCCACCGCGGTCGTCGGCGGCGACGCCGCGCGCGTCCAGGGCATCGTCGCGGGCCTCGTCGCCGAGGAGGTCGAGGCCGACGTGTTGCTGGGGGACATGGAGGAGGAGGACATCGCGGATTGCATCGCGCCGGACCCCGCCGCGGCGCAGATCCGCGCCCTCATCGTCCGCCGCGGCGGCGCGCGGCTTTTAGCGGACCCGCGCGCGCTCATCGGCGACTACGCGCGCGCGCTCACGCCGGCCGCCGAGGCGTCCGTCGCGCCCCTCGAGCACTTCGTCGCCGTCGAGCAACGGGCGAACGCGGACCGCTGCGCCGCGGAGGACTTCGACGCGCAGGAGGCCGCGCTCCGGAGCGCGTCGTCGGCGCCGCGCGAGCCGCCCGCGGACCTCGACGAGCCGGACCTCCCGGCGCTCGTCAAGCCCACGGAGGACCACTCGCCCGCGGGCCGGGCCGCCTACAAGGCCGAGTACGTCCGGGCCCGCGCGACGGCGCCGACGCTCGCGGAGTTCGGCGTCGACGCGGCCGAGGTCGCCGCGCGCGCGAAGCGCCGCAAGAAGGCGTCCAAGGCCGCGGAGCGCGCCGACGCCGGCGCCATCGACGCGGAGATCCGCCGGCGCCGCGCCGCCGCGGGCCTGACGCCGTCCGCGCTGCACTGCGCGGAGCTCCTCGACAACAAGCTCGTGTCGACGCGCGTCTTCAGCGTCCAGGAGTTCAAGGGCCTCGAGGAGGAGGCCGTGGTTCTGGTCGACTTCTTCGGCTCCGCGGACAAGGAGACGGCCAAAGCCTGGCGCGACCTCTTCAAGGCGCGCCGCGAGGGCCGCGGCGACTTCTCGGACCTGAGCCGGCGCCGCGCGCTCGAGCGCGACCTCAAGCTCCTCTACACGGCGCTGACGCGCCCCCGGAGCCGCCTCGTCATCCTCGAGCTCACGAAGGAGGGCGCGGCGTCCGACGCGGCCAAGTTCTTCACGGCCAAGCCCGCCGACGGCGCCGCGCCGCTCGCCGAGAAGCACAAGCGGTCCACCAAGGAGAAGAAGAAGAGCGCCGACGGCGCGACGCTCAGCGCCGACGAGTGGCGCAGCCGCGGCGCCCTCATCGCGCGCGTCGCCACGGAGCGCGCCGAGGGCGACGCGGGGGTCTCCGCGGGCGACCTTGACGCGCGGCTCGGCGAGGCGCGCGACTGCTTCCGGAACGCCGAGGACGCCGAGCTCGAGCACCGCTGCGACGCCGTCATCGCCTGCGCCAAGGCCGTCAAGGACGTCCGCGCCAAGGTCGCCGACGCGCGCGGCCGCGACAAGGGCGACCGCGACGACGACGACGACGCCAAGCCCAGCGCCGCGGAGGAGGCCGCGGCGGCGGCCGTCGCCGAGGCCCTCGGCAGCCTCGCCCTCGACGAGGCCCTCGCCATCTGCAAGGCCGCGGACACGGGCGAGGCGAACAAGGCGCTCGACGACCTCGCGGGCGACATCAAGACGCTCAATCCCTCCCCTCCCCCCCCCTGTGAATCCGGTAGTGGGTTACCGGAAGTAGCTCGCGGGGTCGTCGTAGGGGTCGTCTGCGACGGGCGCGTCCGCGGCGCCGAGCGCGACGGGCGCGTCCGCGGCGCCGACGTAGTTCGCGAGGTCGCCGTAGCGCGTCACCTCGACCTCGCCGTCGACGAGCCGCGCCTCGAAGCCCGAGGCCGCGGCCCGCGAGTTCCAGGAGCGGCGCAGCTGCGGGTGCGCGGCGACCGCCGGCGGCGGCGGGGCGGCGGCGGCGGCGGCCGGCGGGTGCGGGGGCCGCGGGCGCGCCGCGAGCTGCGGGTGCGCCGGGGCCGGCTCCCGGGGCGCGGCGTCCGGCGGCGGCGGGGCCTCGCGGGGCGAGAGCTCGCCCGCGGCGTCGACGCGGGCCGTCGACGACCGGCGCCGCTCGGGCGGGCGCCGCGGCGGCGGCGACTCGCGCGCGAGGAAGCGCCAGCCCGGCGCGCCCCGCGACCGGCGCCGCCCGCGCCACCGCGCGTCGGCCTCGTTGTCGGAGCTGTCGTCGCTGTGGAGCCGCGGGTCGCCCCAGCGCGCGGCCTCGTAGCTCTCCGGTACGGCGTCGTCGTCGCGCCGGGGCACGCGGCGCAGCGACGCCCGCACGCGCGCGACCTCGCCGAGCGGGTCCAGCAAGGTCGCGCCGCGGACGCGCCGCGGCGCGCCGGGGCCGACGAAGGCCGCGGACCACCTGTGTGGGAAACAACCAGTGGAACGCCCTGCCCAGCAAAAACTTCAAACCTCTCTATCTCGGTCAAATCGAAGTCGTTTTGGCTGATTTTTAGACAGAAGTCGGGTCGAAGATTTGATTTCCACACAGCGGACCACGCGCGCCAGGAAGGGATGAGCCTCTCCGGCGGGTCGCGCTCGCGGCGCCGGCCCGCCCAGTGCGAAACCCAGGGCCGCCGCGGGCTCGGCCGCGCCGCGACGCTCGGCTGCACGGGCAGGGGCGGCTCGGACGCCGACCGGGGCGCGCGGCGCGCGCGCCGCGGCGGCCCGTCCTCGCGCGCGGATATCGCGCCCGCGTCGTCGTCGACGTCCGCGCCCAGGTCCAGGGTGCCCGCGCCGAAGACGACGTCGCCGTCGACGACGCCGCCGTCGGCGGCGCCCGGCGGCGGCGGCGGCGGCGCGCGCGACGGCCGCGACGGCGACGCGGCCTCGGGGCGCTCGGCGCCGTCGACGAAGTCGCGCCGCGGCGACCGCGGCGTGGCGACGTCGTCCATGCGCAGGTCCCCGGTGCCCCAGTCGATGTCGTCGTCGTCCATCGACGCGTCGCTCGCGCGGAACGGCCGGGAGAAGGAGTGCGTCCCGGTGCCCCAGTCGACGGACGACGGCCGCGCGGCGAAGATGTCCCGCTCGGCGAGCGTCTCCGTCGCGCGGCGCTCGGCCGGCGCGGACAGGTCGAGCGTGCCCGCGCCGAAGGAGACGTCCTCGTCGGCGAGGCGGCAGGCCTCGGCGAAGAGCGACGACCGGCGCGCGAGGTCCGCGATCGCTCCGAGGGACGGCGGCGGCGCCGCGGCCGCGACGGCCGGCGGCGGCGTCCCGCGCGTGCGCCAGTAGGACTGGGGCGTGCCGCTGCGCCGCCGCGCGGGCCGCCGCCGCGGCCGCTCCTCGGAGCCCGTCGCCGCGCGCGTGCGCCAGTACGTCGGCGTGGGCTCGGACCGGCGGCCCGCCGCCGGCGCGCTCGACCGCCGCGGGCTCGGCGTCGCCGGGAGCGCCGGGCCCGACGCGAGGGGCGCGTCGCGGCCCGGGCGCCCGGCCGCGAGCTTGACCTTGTGGGAATTGATGGGGTTCGGCTTCACGCCGACGCCCATCTTCACCCTGCGAGGGCGCGGCCGCGTCGAAGGAGGCGGGGAAAGGAGTCGGACGCGGCGACGAGCATGTAGCTCTTCGGCGCGTCGCGGTCGTTGGCGCCGTGGACGACCGCGAAGCGCTCCATCAACTGGCGGGCCTTGGAGTCCATGGTGGGGCAGCCGAGATCTACGACCGAAGCCCGAAGTTGGCAGGCAAATGTTTCCAGGTCGATATTGGCGCAAAGGGGAAATGAGACCGTTGTTGAAGCCGCGGGCAGCGAACCGTGAACGCGATGGCGGATGCCAAGACCAAGGGCGCGGACCTGGGGGACCGCATGTTCACGATGAACCCGCCGGAGCTCGCGGAGGAGGTCGTGTGACAGCGTCCTGTGGACGATTTTCGAGAGATTTGGGGTGAGAAACTAATGGGAAAATCGTCACCGCCATGCTTGGCAGGTCGTGTCGCTGCTCTACGACGACGGCCGCGAGAGCCGCTTCCCCGGCGGGTCCCTGGGCTGCGACCTGAGCAGCTGCCGCTACTGCACGACGCTCCAGCTCGAGGTGCTCGCGGCCTGCGCGACGCTGCGGCGCATGTGCGCCGAGGGCCCCGCGTGGCGCGTCGCGGTCCTCGAGGCGCTCCGGGCGGCGCCGCGCGCGCTCGACACGGTGCTCGCGCTCCTGAGCTCGTGCCCCTTCGTCGGCCCCCAGGCCGAGGACGACGCGGGCGAGCCGGACCCGGCCCACCCGGCGCGGCGCTGGGAGCGGCTCGCGAAACCCGTCGTCTGCGCGTCGCGCCACCTGCGGCGCGGCGAGGCGCCGGACGGCTACGCGGCGACGCCGGAGCAGTCGACGGCGGACTTCGCGCGGTGCATGCTCTTCGGGCCCGTGGGCCTCCTCAACGAGCTCGCGTCGGCGAACCACGCCGTCCTCGGCGACGTGCTCGCGAGCGCGTGGTGGCCCCGGGCCTGCGCGTCGCTCGTGCGCATGACGTGCTTCGGGTTGGACGACTTCATGGAGGACGACTACGGCGACGACGACGACGACCACCCGCTGGGCGACGTCGTCGGCCTCACGCTGAGCCTGCTGCTCATGGTCGCGCCGCGCGCGCCGGTCCGCGGCGCGGCGCCCTTCGAGAGCCTGCGGGCGGCGCTGGAGCGCGACGACGTCGCGACGGACGACTTCCACGCGTGCCTCCTCGACTGGCGCGACGCCGAGGACGCGGGCGCGAGCCTCGCCGGCGCCGCGGAGGCCGCGGGCGCCGCGGAGCCGCCGCCGCCCGACGGCTACATCACGGCGGCGGCGGACCTGCTGAACCTGCGGACGACGGGCGACCTCCCGGAGCCCCAGCGGCTCTGCCTCGCGTGCTGCCGGCCCGCGAAGCTCGGGGCAGGAAAAGAGAGCGAAATTCCCAGCTTCAAAGGCTCCGATCTCGGCCGTTTTCCACTCGTTTCGGCTGATTTTTGGACGAGCGATCATCTCTCGGAACGGTCTCGAAGCGTGGATGCTTTTTCTGGAACGCGCGCGCGCGGAACACTCACGTTGAAGCGAACTTGAATCACTCTTTTCCTGCCCAGGCGAAGCTCGCGTGCTCCAAGTGCGGCGCCGTCTTCTTCTGCGACAACGGGAACGAGTGCCAGAAGCTCGTCTGGGCGGCGCACCGGCCGGGCTGCGCGCCGCCGAAGCAGGGCGACGCCGCCGCGTCCCACCCGAGCTCGTGGTGAGGTCGTAAATTCAAGTTGAACTTCAAGGTGATGAGAGCTTTGGAGCTGCTCGGCTACGCCGGCGCGTACGACCTGATCACGGCGTCGCGCACGGCGCTGGAGGCGCCCGTCGGCTGGGCGACCGCCGAGACGCTGACGTACACGCACCCCGCGCCGACGAGCGTGTGCGGCATGATGCTGGAGAGCCTCGGCGCGAGCACGCCCGTGGCGCGCGGCCGCTCCGCGACGACGGCGTGGCGGTTCGCGTGCGGCGACGCGGCGGCGCGGAACGAGGCGCTCGTCGCGGCGGCGCTGCTCGCGGAGGCGGGGGGCGACGGCGGCCTCGCGGCGTCGAACCGGGGCGGCTACCACTCGGACCGCGACGCGCTCGGGGCGGAGGCGCCGTGCCTCGGGGAGCTGCGCGCGCTCGTCGCGGCGGCGATCTCGGCGCTCCCCGGGAAGGCGCGGGGGCGGCGGGAGATCGTCCACAGCTGGTTCAACATCAACCGCGGCGACAACCACAACGCGCTCCACGACCATCGGCCGGCGCTCTTCTCGGGAGTCTACTACGCGGCCGCGCCCCGCGCCGGGGGCGGCGAGCTCGCCTTCCAGCTCGACGCGTCGCTCGGCTGCTCCGCCGCGGCGCCCGGCGCGGGGACCTGCAGCTACGGCGTCGTCGAGCCCGCCGACGGCGTGCTCGTCGTCTTCCCCGGCGGCCTCAAGCACGCGGTCTTCCCGATGTGTGCGGGGCCGCGGCCGCGCGTCTCGATCTCCTTCAACGTCGCTCCGACGTGACTCTAATAGCCGATGCCGTGCGCCGGTCAGGGCTGACGATGAAGGATCGATGAAGGATACTTCACCCCACGAGCCAGCCCGACCGCCGTCCATCGGCGCGGCGCGCGCGCACCGGGCTGCGCGCCGGGCCGCCGAGGCGGACGCGCGGCACCGTCGCCATGTTCTTCGAGGGCCGGGACGAGGCGGCGCAGCGCCAGGCGCGGCAGGCGCCGCACGCGCCGGCGTCGACGCTCTCCATGGTCGGCGTCGCGGTCGCGCTGGCGCTCGCCGTCGTCGCCGGGCCCGCCGCGACGCTCTACGTCGCCGCGTCTCGGGGCCTGTTCGCCGGCGCGCCGCCGCTGCCCGAGCCCTGGGCGAAGCTCGCGGCGCGGCTCCGGCGGCTCCGCGCGCCGCGGCCCGGGCCGGCGCCGACGAAGCGGCGGCCGACCAAACTGCTCCAGGGGTCGTGGTGCGAGCACCTCTGGTCCATCCCGGCGCCGGGGACGCCGCGCCACGAGTGGGGCCGGCCCTGCGACACGGGCGAAGACGAGTTCGCGCGGCTCCGCGTGGAACAGGACGAGTGGCGCGTGCGCATCCGCGAGTGCCGGTCCGGCGACGACGTCGTCGCCGACGCCCAGGAGAACGTCTTCCGGATCCGCGACGAGGCGAACCTCACGGCCGACGGCTACGGCCTCTTCGTTTTGGAGTTCCTCTCGACGACGTCGCGGCTGCCCGCGGTGCGCCGCCGCGTCGGCGCGTGCAGCCTGCACTGCGTCGTGCCCCTGCGCGGCGGCGAGCACTGGAAGCGCCTGCCGCGCCGCGTCCATGTGGGAGTGGCGCTCGACGCGGTACCCTGCGGCGCGCCCCTCGCGCCCGAGGCCGCGGCGCGCTGCGCGACGGCCAACGAGACGGGCGAGATCCTCGAGCTCGTCGGGCCCTGCGCCTGGCCCGGCGACGACGACGACCGGGGATTTTAAGGAGGCGGCGGAGCCAGGCCGCGCCGCGCGGCGTCGAGGTCGAAGGAGAAGACGACCCACTCGCGCCCGCCCGCGTCGAAGGCGCCGCGCCTTTCGCAGCCGGGGACCTTCTCGTGCGCGCGCAGCGACGGCGCGTTGCGCGCGTCGATGACCGTGACCGCGGCGCGCTCGGGGGCCAAATCCGCGAAGAGGCCCGCGTAGAGGTCCCGGAATAGACCCGAGCCGCGCTTCGGCGCCGCGACGCAGACGGGCCCGACGAAGGCCGTCGGGTCGAAGCCCGGAGGCGCCGCGTTGCGCCAGGGCAGGCCGACGGCCTCGCGGTTGTAGGGCTCGTCGGGCGAGTTCGCGGCCGCGAAGCCGACGAGCGCCGGCGGGAGGTTCGACCAGTCGTAGGCGACGACGGACGTCGCGCGGAAGGCGCCGGCCTCGCGGCGCGGCGCGAAGGCCCGCTTGATGCCCGCCGCGGACCAGGCCGGCGCCAGGCTGTGCGGGCCCGCGACGCGCGTCTCGTCGTTCTCCGCCCAGAGCGCGCGGATGGCGTCGGCGTCGCTTTCCTTGCCCAACCGCAGGCGCACGCCGTCGTTTCGCTCGATGCCCAGCGGTGCCGCGAGAGGTGCCGTCGCGGCGGCCCACCAGGCGGGCGGCTGCCAGGCCTGGGATTGTTGCAGCAGCGCGATGCAGAGCGCGGCGACGATGCGGCGGGCCATCATCATTTTGCTTAGCCGCGTCGCAGGGAGGAGCGCGACGCAGAGCGCGGCGCGATGCGGCTTCCCATCTTGCCCATGCACCTTGAAGTTCAAGTTGAATGGGCAGTGACGAAACATGCCAGCCTCGACTGCGCTCGAGGGCGCGCCCCCAATCCACCCGCGTCGAAGACCGAGGCTAACTCCCGGCCGCGGCCGCGGGCCTGGGCGGCGGCGAGCGGCGGTTCGGCGGCGGCGACGCGGGCGGCGGCGGCGGCCGGGCCTTCTCCTGGACGTAGATGTCGACGGCGCCGTCGTTTCCGCCCAGGGCGCCGGACAGGAAACCCGCGAGGTCCGGCCGCGGCGGCCGCGCGCTCCGCGCGCCGCGCCAGACGGGCCGGGGCAGCGGCGGGAGGCCCGGCGACCGGAGCGCGGCCGCGACCGCGCGCGCCAAACCCGCGTCGTCGTAGCCGGCGAAGCCCAACGTCCCGCAGCGCGACGTGAGCCGCGACCGCGCGTCGATGGAAAAGTTGCGGTCGTCGGCGACGCCCGCGCGCGCGTACGCGCGCGCGTCCGTGTCCCGGTTGCCGAAGCCTGTGGTGGAACTCGAATCTTCAACCTGACTTCAATGTGAGCGCAAGCGACAGTTTCGACGCGAGCTCTTCTGTCGTGCCTCGAGAACTCGACGAGAGCGATCGATTCGTCCAAAAATCAGCCGCATCGACGTCGATACGACCGAGCTGGAGAGTTCCGAAGTTTGGTCGGGAGAACCCGGCTCGCCGTTTGAGTTCCACGCGGGCCGAAGCCCAAAACGACGGGCGACGCGCCCGGGTCGCCCCCGAAGGCCGCCGCGAGGTCGAGGAGCGCGCGCGTCTTGAAGACGTCCGGCGTCTTCGCGACGACCTCCGCGTAGACGGCGCCCAGGAGCCCCTCGCCCGACGTCACGAGGGGCCCGTCGGGCAGCCCGTCGCGGCCCTGGCGGAGCGACGCGAGGAACGCGCGCGTCGACGCCGCGAGGGCGACGGGCCGCGACGTCAGGTAGAGCACGCGCGCCCGCGGCGCGACGACGCCGCCCAGGAACGCGCAGACGCCGCCGTGCGCGAACGACGGCGCCGCGCTCATCGTCGAGTCGAGGAACCCGCGGACGTCGCTCGCCGTGATCGTCCCGTCGACGTCGCAGACGACGACGCGGTCACCGGCGTCCCAGAGGAAGGCCCGCGCCTCCGCGACCTGGCGGCCGAACTCGAAGGTCAGAGCGTTCGATCCCGGCCGCAGGCCCCAGCGCTCGAGCGCGGCGGCGCCGGGCCGCGAACCGCCGGCGAAGCGGCAGCGCCCGTCGGCGCCGGCGACGAGGTCGCAGTCCACGGCGGCGCCGTTGACGGCGACGCGCACGGGCCGCGCGTCGCCGTCCGCCGCGTCGTCGTCGCCTGTGTGGAAACCAACCACTGGTTTGGGTGGTCCTGACAAAACTTGAGAATTCTCTAGCTCGGTCACATCGAAGTCGATTCGGCTGATTTTTGGACGGATCGATCGCTCTCGTCGAGTTCTCGAAGCCCAGCCGAAGAGCTTGCGTCAAAACATTCGAATACGCTCACATTGAAGTCGGGTTGAAGATTTGGTTTCCACACAGGTCGTCGCCGTCCTCGTCGAAGCCGTCGCGGAGCGGCCGGTCGTCGCTCCGGAGCCGCGCTACGCCGCGCTCCAGCGACGCGTAGGCCGCGCTCAGGCCGCGGCTCAGCCGCTCGGTCGTCGGCGGCTCGAAGCGCACGACGAAGGCCGTGCACGCCAGCGACCCGTCGCGGCGCCGCACGACGACGACGTCGATGCTCGACCCGCGCCGCCGGCCGTCGTCGATCGTTGTTGCGGGGACCTCGGCCGCGAGCGCCGGCACGGGCTCGGGGCCGCCGCCGCTGACGGCGACCATGCGGGAATGAGCGTGCGCGAGCGCCAAAGCTAGCCGCACATGCTGCTTGCCACAAAGGATGTCACCGTTGAACCATGTGTTGAACTCAAATACAGACGGTGAAGCGGCCGAACCATCAGCACTTCAGCTATGATGATGGACACCCACTCCGTCGTCTGCGGCGTGGCGGGCCTGCAGGCCTTCTTCTACTGCTTTTTAAGCGTGCTCATGTGCACGACGTCCGAGATCGACGACGTGCGTCGTTCCTGCCGTTCCCTCGGCCGTTCCCTCGGAGGCCGCGCGACGGGCTGCCCCCGCAGGTCTGCAAGAGCCGCTTCGGGCCGGACTACCGGGCCGCCAAGGTCGCCCGGAAGGGGAGCGGCTACCTCCTCCTGCCGCAGCCCTTCCCCGTGCTCATGTTCCGCGCCGCCCGGCGCCCGGCCGCCGCGCCGCGCCGCGCGCGCGAGCCCGACCCCGCGCGCGCAGGGTGGTACTTCTGCTGGGCCGCGGCCGTGAACTGCTTCTCCTGCTACGCGCTCTACGTCGCCTACGACGCGATGAAGGTCCCGTGCTGCCTGCTCCTCGTCCTGTGGCACGCGGCCGTCATCCTCACGCAGATCGGCGACGAGGCGGACCACGCCGCGCTCCACTTCAAGATGCTCGCCGGCTGGTGCGTCGCGCTCGCCGCGGCGCTCCTCGGCGCGCCGTCGCTATAAGACACCGTTATGGATAGGTGGCGGCGCTCGCGACGGGGCGGGGGCGCTAGCGCGCGCCGTCGAGGCCGGCGCCGT